TGTAGCTCTAGTTAATATGCAAAATGCATTGAATTGGTGGCTATACTTTTGATTATGAGAACAAAGCATTTTATACTGGTTTTTGAATCTTCATTTATGTGGTAATTATTTGGAGCAGATGCTTAGTGGGCATAAATTAAAAGAAATTATCAAGGTACCACAATGGTAGGTAGACACTGAGGGAAGGTTTTTGAAGGAGTTGAATGGAAGATAAATTTCATGACATATGCTAGATTATATATATTGTTCAATTAAAGAAGATGTGAACCTGAAGTTCAAGAAAGAAGACTGTACTACGATATTGCAAATAAAGTGCTCATTATGAATTTTATGTGTCAATTGTAAACACTTTGGTTAGAAGTGAATGCTAGATATTTTCTCAACCATAAAAAGGTGGTCTTATTATAAGGAAATTGTAGTTCCAACATATAAGAACCTGAAGTTCTCCTTCGCATGTATTTTATATACACATGTTCGTTTTTATTAATCCTTCCCTATAAATAAAATGTCAAATCTTCAAATTTTTGAGTTTCTTACACTTGATATCTCCTGAAGAGAAACAAGTTTGTCCCTTCTCACAATATTTGATTATTTGATTGTGTGCCTTATATGCTCTCTCCCCCACAATGCATTCAATATAATGTAGGAGACTGTGTATTGACATTGGCTATAACTCCTCGTCTATTGTTAAATGTTTAGAGTTTTTGAAAGGAGAATTATTAACATCAAAGTAAGTTGGTTATCAAGAATAATGAAATACTAGTATACTAGAAATTATATGAAATGCATCATTGTAAATTTTCGATTCTTGAAGTGGTCAATGTAATTTTGAAGTCTGATTTGCAAAGAAGAGCAAATGAATTACTTGATGCATTCACATATATGAGCAGAGTGACAAAGTTACATATACCAGCATCTTATGCATCGCTCAATTTAAGGTAGTCCCAGAAGTGACTATTGAACATTTTATGTGGGAGAATAATTGGTTTCAAAGATAAGAACCAAGGAAAATGAAGATATATAGCAAAAATGCTATTAGTGAAACCACATACATGATTATGAGTGAAACCCCAGAAGAGGTAACTGTCTTAGAAGAAGACTAATACTATTCCAGAAGAAAATGAAACCCTAGAAGAGG